TTGGAGACGCTCATGTTGTACATTCAGAATGCAAGAGTGATCCTGAATAAATGTTCCTGACACTCTGTTCTCCAATCTCCATTCTACTTTGGTTTGGGGAGGTTGTTGCAGGAGATTCATGGGGAGGCTGCTGGCCAGCTGTGCCCCTGGTAGGGTTTGAGGCAGTAGCAGGATGGCAAAGCTTACGGCACTGTACCACATGGTGTGAGCTGCCCTGATTTCTCATGGGATATCACAGCAGATCAAATACAATGTGTCTGTAAAACAGGCCAAGAAGCTGCTGCACAGCTCACATGATACACATGTTAACTGAATTGAAATGGACTTTCAGCAACAGGTGCGCACTGGTGCTTATTCTATACCAGCTCCATGCAGGGTGAAGAGGGCTAAGGCCCTGTGCTCAGGAAAGCAGGCCCTGTCTTGCTGCCTCATCTCTGCAGCTTGGCTCAAGGTCTAAAGGTCTAACAGTTTCCAGAAACCCAATCAGTGTTGGTTGGCTTGAAGACAGGATCTCTGCCTATACACTTTTTATAGTTTAGAAGAAAAATCCTATAAATCATCCAAGGTTCAACCAGGAAAACAGAGGCCACTCTAAGTATTTATAGCAGAGAACTCTCATTACCCAGGTGATAGGAAGACTCTGAGGCCAGAGCACAGGGACTTTGGAGGGAGTGGCAACCCTCCCTGGGTTGAAGGGACTAAGGAGGTAAGTGGTGCTATGGGGCCCAGGCACAAGGGTCACCCTTTGGAAGCTGGAGTCTTGGCTTCCCTGGCAGGAGCTAGACCCAGAATTAAATTCTTTCCAGGGGCAAAATTGTGACCCTCAGAGAAGCCTGCTGCAGATAGTGCTTAGGTGTGGGGAAAATGGTGATGGAGAAATGCCCTGGCTTCCCCCTTCTTACCCCTCTCTTCCAGCACCTCTCTCTGGGGTGAATCCCACCAGAAACCAGAGCCAGGAATCACAGCCTAACAGGCTCAGTCCCTCCTTCCCTGAAGCCCATTCCCACAATGCAGAGAGGGAAAGGGCTTGGATTGGCTCTAAGGGCAGACAGGCCCAGGATTGGCACATCTTCCACTGGACGGCATCCCACAGCCTAGGAATCAATTTCCTTTATGTATTTCATTCTCAAATCCCCATGAAGACCCCACGAATGGTGCATTTTTACCTCATTTTATGTAGGAGGAATGTTAAGACTCAGAAGCTTCTGATAAATGATTATAAACTCTCCAGCTAGTGCCTGGCTTGGCAGTACTCAAGGTGGGTCTATTAACACCCATTTCCTTCTTCCCCTTGCTCCATGTAACCCTCAAAAGGCGACTTTTTTTCTAAGGATTTATAGAGAGATCTTTTCACTGATGAAGGTTTTGCATTTTGTATTATGGTTCAAATTGTCTGTTTCCTGTTGATCTCCTGTCTACTTGTTCTATCCATGATTCCAAATGTGGCATTCATGTTTCCAACTATTTTTATTGGTTTATTTCGCTCATCATTTAAATCAGTTCTGTTTCACATATTTTGGGGGCTCTGTTAGAAACATGTTTGTAATTGTTATATCTTCTTCATGAATTGACCCTTTTGTTATGATAGTGTCCCTGCTTGTCTTGGATAACTAAGTTTGTTTAAAGTTTGTTTTGTCTGATGTCCTATGGCCACTCCAGTGTTCTCAGAGTTGTTGTTTGCATGATTATTGCTTTTCCATCCTTTTACTTTCAGCCCATTTATATCTGAATCTAAAGTGTGTCTCCTGTAGCAAACATATAGCTGGATCTCGTTTTTCTTATCCCATCCGATAATTCTCTGTCTTTTGTGCTGCTTAATCCATCAATATTGGACGTTAATATTCATAGTTTGGATTTGTGTCCGTATCTTACTTTTTTCTTTATCTCTCATGTCTTTTTTGATCCAAGTCTGGCATATAAAGCTGCATATTACAAAATTTGGGTTTTGGAATGCAAAATTGAATAGCAGAAAGTATTATTTTGCTTGCTTTCTTTTGTGTGTGAATCTCTTCCAAGGTCTTCTGTAGGAGGAACTCAAACACCTTTCTCCACCTTGCAGGTCCTGCTGAGTTGCTCTGGGAAGGGGTTAGGAAGGGAGATAGAGTTTCACATGCTTCTGGTAGAAGAGAGGAGTTGCTATTAGGTAAACATCCAGTAGCCCCGCAGCTACCACTTCCCCTTACCTGCATCTCTTTAGATTATTCGCTTCAAGTTACTTCAGGTGCATTAAGAGATTGGTATCTGAACGGCAAAGAAATTCTCTTCAGACCTGCCCATCACTGTTCACGAGGACCAGAGGGCACTTCTCTGTGGATCACAATCAGCCTAAAGCACCTCCTCCTAAAGCCACCAACATTGAGGGACAATCCAAGGCTTCCCTGCCATGAGCTTTTAGTATATGCCCTGAAAGCCACAGGCTTGTGGGAAATAATAGGAAAGCTGATTTTGCAAAGTGGAAAACATGATAGTAGCAAGTGAATAAAGCAAGCTATTAAATTCTACTCCTTGCTGGGACCACCAGGAACAACTAAGGATGCCTGTGGCCAGGAGTCAGGGCAGCGTGGGTCAGACACATTTTTTTTTGTCACAGTTTAGTGGTGATGTACCTACTGCTTTCTTTTGTTGTATGTCCTTCATTAGTGTCATGATTCTTTTTGGTTTTTGATGTAAGAATCAATTAAAAGAAGAAAAGGCAAATTAAGGAAGGGTTGATGGAAAGAAGAGGTGGGGAGGGAAAGAGGTAGACAGGGTGAGAAGACAAAGAAAGGGAGGCTCAATTTCATTTGGGCTGTAGGAAAAAGCTAATCCTCTCAAGTTTTAAGCCAGCTATAGTAGATGAGTAATAAAGGGAGGTCCAAACCTCATTTATGTTTTAATATTGACTTAGTGTAGTAAAAAGCTGGGAAAAATAGAGTGTCATGGGGAGTTCAAGACCTAAACCGGAGCATCTGAAACATAATCTAAAAAAAGGATACTGTGATTCCAATCCAAGGACTTTAATTTCACACAAGGGAGTAGGAAACTTCATGGCCTGTAAAACGTTTTTTACGTTTGGTTATTTGTGCTGGGGGAGGAAGTTGAGGCTCATCTCTGCGTCCCGTTCCCTCTGAGCTCTGCAGCAGATGCTGCTGCTGCTGCTGCGCCTGCTCTGCCGCTGCCCATGGCTCTCTGCGAGGCCCATGCGCTGCCTGCCACGGTCTCCGCTCCTGTGATCTCTGCCCTGCCTCAGCTCCCACGTCCCCTTTGTCGGGATCTCTCTCCTCTGAGCCCCCATGACTTGATCTCACCTGAGTCCCAAAACCAGCTGAGATGTTTCCACCTCCCTGGAGCCTTCCTGATCCCTGGACCTCATTTTAAAAGATCGGCGAGTCCCCCACAGTTGTGTTTCTGGAGCTCTCAGACTCTGTCTTTCTAGGAGAAATGATCACCTGTTAGGTTGCGTCCTGGATACCTGTTGGGTGGGTTTATGTTGGGTCGTCTCAGCTGAGCTGGCCGTCATTCCTCAGAATTGTCTTCTCTGAGTAGTTCCAAGGCAGCCTGAAAGACACGTTGTGACACAGAAGGCTGCAGCAGGGGAGCAGCCTGCCTGCTCATAGGTCCGTGCAGGCCGTGGTGCCTGACCCCTGGCTCACCTGGTCAGTGAGGGGCAGCTGCTGGTGGCCACTTTCGGGTCCTGCTGCAGCCCCTTCTCCAGCTTCTCCTACAGAGATCAAAGTGGTTTCGGTTGTCCTTGTGGGTCCCCTGCAGCTGCGGGGGCCACTTGGTCTTGCTGTCTACATTTGACATCTGTCAATCTGTCATCCTCCCTGAATGCTTGCCCTGCCCTGCAGGCTCTGGGCCACAGCCTCAGATGCAGAAACAGCAGCAGCAGCCCCACAGCCTGAGGAACCAAATCCCTGCTTGAGTCCAAACCCCTGCAAGAAATGTATTATTGTACAGCTACCGCAGTCCTGTTGGCACCGGACCCTCACTGAGGCCCACCTGTGAGCTGTCCAGATCCCTCTCAGGCGGAGCCAGGGGTCAACTCTGGTTCTTCCTTCATGGTAAGTTTAGGCACCGAACAGGCACTCACAGAACATGGGTTGGTTGGGGGTCTTGATGTACCCAAGCTAGCTGAGACAGCCTTGCAGACCCTGGCTGAGCCTGTCTGAACAGAACAAGGGCTGGCTGGCTTCCTGCAGCTGGAAGAGGCCTTCTGGTTGTGGTTGTTTGGGTCTTTGGTTCCCCTCATGGTGGGATGACTTCTCAGGCAGGTGCTTGGAGACAGGATCCTGACGGCCAAGACTCTGAGGGATGCAGTGTTTCAGGCTGCCTGTGCTGCACTCCCCTGGAGCTCCAGGAAGGCTCTCTCCTCTTTGCTCCCTTTGGCAAGGATGTCTCTGTGTCTCTGGTCTTTGGGATCTGTCCCCAGGCTCTCCCACAGGAGGATAGACCGTGACTGCTGGCCTGGTTAGTGGACTCTAACAGTGAAGTCTCTATGATGCAGTTAGGCCTAGCTGACAGTGTTTTCTCCCAGAACTGGCTCGGCACAGTCATCACGCTACCTCCAGTGCTGCTGCCCACCCTGCATGCTCTCTGCCCCACCCCAGCGCATTTCTCTGCTGACTATGGGGTACCCAATCGGGGTCGGGGGAAGGTGGCAAACCATCCTCCTACTTGGGTCCTTTCTGAGTTAGAAATCCCCAGTGTGAGCTGCTGTGTTGAACTTAAGAATGACATCCAAATGTCGTCAGCATCCATTACTCGGCTCTGCTCCCAGGGCCTGAGGACAAAGCAGGACTCTGTAGTCACAGGCAGCAGGCCCCGCTCAACGCCTTGCTCCACCAGGTGGGTTAAATGGCTGCTCCATCTCCCCCTGCCTACCTCAAAGCCCGGATCTCCAAGGATGTCCAGACCAGTGCAGTGTCACAGCAAATGACCCTGGGCTTCCTTCTCTCCATTGTTTCATAAAGTTCTGTGATGTGCATGTTATCATGGTTACAGATCCATCAGAACAGGCTCTCCAAGTGATCAGAGACTTTCTGTTTCCCAGCGGCTTCCTGTCACGTTAGAAAGGGGCTTGGATGTCTAGAGAGGAGAGGAGGTGTGGGCAGACATGAGACAACCACGGAATGGTCTGTAATTCCAGTTTTGGAGCTTTTGGGGCTAAAGTGGCATTATGGCTGAGTTGTGTTCCCCCAAAACTTGTATGTTGAAGCCCTAACCCCCACTACTGCAGAATATGACTGTGTTTGAAGACAGGATCTTTAAAGAGGTGATTAAAGTTCAATGAGGTCATCAGGGTAGGGCCTAATCCAATACAACTGGTGTCCTTGTAAGAAGAGATGAGGACTCAAACATGCACAGAGGGAAGGCCCTGTGAGGACACAGAGAGAAGACAGCATCTATGAGCCAAGGAGAGAGGTGTGAGAAGGAACCAAGCCTGCCAGCAGCCTGATCACAGACTCCCATCCCCAGAACTCCAGGAAAAATGCAGACCTGGCCTCTGGTGCTTTGCTCTGCAGCCCTGGCCAACTAGGACAGGTGGTGTCTTCGTCCATCTACGTCACTCTAAAGCAATGTTTGAGGCTGGGTAGATCATAAAGAAAAGGGGCTTATTTGTCTTACAGTTCTGTAGGCTGGACAAGAAGTGGGGCACCAGCAACTGCTTCTGATGAGGGCCTCAGGGAGCTTCCACTTATGGAAGAAGGTACCACGTGGGGAGACGGGAAGCAAGAGACAGTGGAGGAAGCACCAGGCTCTTTTTAACCATCAGACTCATGGGAACTAAAACGGTGAGAGTTTGATACCATGAGGATGAGGATGGCACAAAGACATTCATGCGGAACCGGCTCCCATGACCCACACACCTCCCCCAGGCCCACCTCCGGCTCTGGGGGTCACATTTCAGCATGAGATTTGGAGGGAGTGAACATCCAAACCACATTAGGTGGTGACCGCATTCCCCCACTTGGTTTCCTTTAGTGGCCCCGCCTATAGCTTTGGTGGATTTGGTGCCCTCTCAGTGATGGCTCACTCAGCCCACTGATGGTGCACGCACATGGCTCGCTTCCCTTTCCATGGTTCCTGTGATTCTCCTCAGTGTTTCCAGCCTTCGACCTTCACATTTTGGATACCACTGCTGCTGTGTGGCTCCATCTTGCATGAGCTGCCTCCACTCAGCAGGTACCACCTGGACTGCCATTTCCTCCATGGGAGTGGGGACAGTGGGGCGAGGCACTGGGGCAGCAGATCCTGTCCCTGCTTTTCCCTCCTGACCCCTGCCTCAGCCCAGCAATTCCAAGGTGGGGCACAGAGGGGAGATAGGTAGAGGGCCGGGGTCCCAGGGCAGCTCCCATCACAGACCTGTGGGGAATCGTGCTTGAACGTGGGTGTCATTGACTCAGGTGTCATCTTCCTTTGTCTTTCTCATCTTCATTCCTGGAGACAGCAAATTGCACTTGCCAGCGTTTGACGTTTTGCACAAGACATGGGAAAGAACAAATGTTGGCCTGCTTTGAGTTTAGTCGCTTATGCAGCCAAAGGCCCAGGAGCGCAAGCTATCTGCAGGGAAGGCAAAAGCATCTCTGTTCATCAAAGCTGCCTGTTTATTCCAGGGTTATAATAGCAGGAATAAACGGCAACCACACCTGACATTGTATGATGGTTTATGGCTTCCTGGCCACATTTTCAAGCATTTAAAAAAATTTTGAGTACAGGTATTGTCATCTTTGTTTTATAAATAAAAAATTAAGCTCTGAGGAGAGCCTATTCTCCCAAAGTTCTCACAGCTATGCTGATTTCTAAACTGGTGTGACCACTTCCCCATCCTGGCCTCTGCCATGGCATCTGCCCAGCTCACCAGAACCATGGAACATGGCCCAGCACACCTTTCTCTCTATATATGCCCTGTGAAGAAGGTGCCTCGCCAGATCTGTGACACTGCAGCATTTCTTTCCAGGGAAGCCTGTTTCCGACCTCGCTGGTTTTCCCCTGCCTGTATTGATCAGTTCCCAGGGGATCCGAGTCTGCATGGTACTCGCACTCCTCTCCCAGCTGCAGGTCTCACTGCCTGTGCCTGAGCCCAGCCTGAGGGTGTGAAGGGATGACAGCAGCTGTCTTTCCCAACCAGGGTCAGAAAATGCCATGCTTTCTCCAAGTCCACAACACACTAGCTGGCAAGTAGAGGGAAGTGGCAGTTTCTGAGAGTGATGGCACCTTCTTCCAACTGCAGGGCTGAGAAATTGCTGGATTTCCTTTCTCAGGAGGCTTGGTGACTTATGCGTGAAATGCTAGCACAATTCAGATATTCTCAAGGCTCAGAATCTGCTAAGGCTCTGCTACCTCCAGGGCTCATGGGCTCCCGCATAGCCCTCAATGTCCATCAGTGCTGCCTGCCTGTGGCCCCTGGTGTGGATGGCTGAGCTGTAGCTTGTCCCAGCCCTGTCCTGCCTTGTGTTTCTGCTTTGCCTTCTGCTGGACAGGCCTGCAGCACCCTGTCCTGGACTCCAGCCAAGGCTGGTCAGGCACTGCAGGCCCTCCAAGGACCCCACACCTGTCATAGGCAGAATTTGGAGAGCCCTCACAATTCCCACCCCCTGGTTTACAAGCCCCATATAATCCCTTCCCCATGATTGGAGGCCACACTGCTAATCTGATGGCTTTCCTGCCAGTGATGAAGGTGCAAAGGTGAAGAACTTTGCAGAGGTAATGAAGCTCTTTGATGAGTTACCTTTGAGATGATTGAAAGGGAGATACCCTGAGCCTTTAAAATAGCCCTGGCTCTTCATAGAGAGAGATTCCAAACAGGAGAGGGACAGTCCTGCTGGTCTTGCGGAAGTAAGCCTTCTGTCCTGAGGGCCCTGCCTGGGTGGACCCAGGGAGGGAGGTGTGAGGCCTCTCGCTGTGGCAGGGAGCAGGTATGGCCTCTAGGTAGTGAGAGTCGCTGCTGGCCACTGCCTGGCAAGAAAGCTGGGACTTGGTCATTCCATTGCAAGGAACTAAATTTGGCCAACAATCATGTGAACTTGGAAGAAGACCAAGCTCCGGAGGGGATTGTACCCCTGCTGACATCTTGATTTTAGCCTGGTGAGACCCTCAGCCAAGGACACTGCCCAGGCTTCTGATCTACAGAAAGTGTAAGACAGTAAACAGGGTTTAAACTGCTGAGTTCCTGGTGCTTTGTAACACAGCAACGGGAAACTAATACAGTGCACTCCTCCCTCTCCCCCGACCCACGGGCCGCAGGTTTTTAGCACAGCCAGTACGTGCTCCTCATTGTCTCTGCCACTGTGTGATGTCTAGATCGGCCTGCATACTGGAATTCCGTCCTTCACACTCGACCTAAGGATTACATCCTGGTATGGGTGATAGCCCCAAGCCTTGGGCTGCAGCTTGTCTTGGGAAGAGCCCCTCTGCCCCATGCACCTCAGAGAACAGGAGGAAGGAGCAGTCACTGGGCCCCCATGGTCCTTTTTCAGTGGTTCTACTCTTCATGGCTCTGTTCCTAGTTCCCATCAGGTCATTTCTAGGAACTTACAGGAGCCGCAAAACCCAGGCCTTCCCTAAAGAAGACAAAAAAATATCACCATTGCACCAAGCTCAGACCACAGTAACTTGAGACTTGAGAGGAGTGAATATTTTTTTAGAATTACAGTGCCTTCTGCTATCTGTAGGGTTGAGAAATTGTCATTTCATAAGCGGCTTGATTTATTTCTGAAATTCTTAGGAGGGATTACAAGGAAAAGAGAACCAAAGTCTCAAAGCTGCTGACCAGCTTATTTAAAAGTATGCAATATATTCAGCAAACACTTAGTGAGAACCCGGGAAAAACACAGGATAAAATTTATTGCCTTATGAAAAACAGTTGGAGATGTAAAGCCTGAACATGTGTCAATAAAGATGGAAAAGGGAGCAAGAGTCCCCACTTGATCTCCAGTTACGTAACATAATAATTTTTAAAATGCTTTTGATTTTGATGTAATTATAGCTTCGTAGGAAGTTGCAAAAATGGTGCACAGAGTGCCATGCCTTTTACCTGCTTTCCCAAGTAGTGACATTTTATACGACTACAGTACAATATCAGATAGGAAAACGATACTGGTACATGCTAGGGCTTGAATTGCATGTCTGAAGTCCTAACCACCAGTACTTAAAACTGTGATTCTTGGAAGTAGGGTCATTTCAGATGTCGTTAGTTAAGATGGAGTTACAGTGGAGTAGTGCAGCCCGAATCCCGTATGAGCAGCATCCTTAGAAGAAGACGGCGTGTGAATACAGACCGGCACAGGAGGAACGCCATGGGGCGAGAAAGGCAGAGATCTGAGTTCTGCAGCTGCAAGCCAAGGAATGCCAAGGTAGCCAGGAAACCACCAGAAGCTAGGAAGAGGCAAGAAAGGATTCAGACTTACAGGTTTTAGAGAGAGGTTCAGCTCCCCATTCTGCCCTGCTGACCGCTGGCAGGACGTTTTCCATGGATGTTTGGCTGGAGTAGAGTAGTTGCTGCTGAAAAGACCTGTTGTGTTAGACTGCCATTTCCCCAGTCCTGCAGCTGCAGGAAGCAGGCTTTTCTTGGGACACGTCTGTCTGCAGTGGTTGGCGGTTCCAGGTTGTGGGCTTCTTTCTCCAGTGCTTTGGCTGAATTTCATGGAAGCATAAAGAAAATCCAGGCACCTCACCTTGGTGCTACACCTCAAGTCCCAAGGTCTCCAAGAAGTCACCTTGCTCTTTCCACCTTTTGGAGTCTTCCCAGGTTTGACTGTTTTTACTGTAGTAAAATATACATAATATTCTGTGTTATGTATATTTATGGTTCTAAGAATACTTAGTACAGCACTAAGTACATTAACATTGTGGGGCACCCATCACCACCATCCTTCTCCAGAATGCTTTTCATCTTGCAAAACTAAGACTGCTTCATTAAACACCAACTCCCTATTTCTGGCTCCCACCAGCCCCTGGCAATCACCATTCTAATTCTTGTTGCTCTGATTTTTGAGGTATTTGTCCTTTGTGCTGGTCCTTATATCACTTGAATTAACGTCCTCAAGGTTCATTCATGTTGTAGCATGTGTCAGGATTTCCTTTCCAAGGTTGGATGGCATTCCATTGAATGTGCTACATTTTGTTTATTTCCTTCTTTGTTGATAGACACTCAGGTTGCATCTGCCTCTTGGCTACTGTGAATAATGCTTCTATGAGTGTGGGTATACACAGCTCTGTTTGAGTCCCTGCTTTTACTTCTTTTGGGTAAACACCCAGAAATGGGATTGCTGGGTCATCTAGTAATTCTATGTTTAATTTTTTATGTTTGACTTTTATGTCATGTCCAGCATTTTTTTTTTAAATTTTCAAGATGATGTCTAGGGAGGAAGTGGGTTGCTTCACCTTGGCTGGAACTAGCAAGCTAAATCAACTTAAAAAATGTTCTTCTTAGCTAAACCCATTTACAGAATAGCCAAGGTGTCCCTTGAAGTTTGTGTCAAGAACATGAACACACTTCTCCTTAGAATCCTTACCTGCTTCCAGCACTCAGGAACTCTTCCTGAGGGACTATTTAGTTACAGGCCTTCTGGTCAACTGCAGAGCCTGAAACCATGGAGGCAAATTATTTTTCTTATTTCTTCAGTGTGATTCTCCTTCCTCCTGTCACACCTGCTAATGTGTAAGTAAAACATAGTTATTACAGTGAAGGCCATAGTGACCCTTTTCATTTTTCGAGAAATGTTCACTTTCATTATCTCATTCATCCTCATCAATCACTGTGAAGGAAGCAGTCAAGGCCAAGGTTATTTACGTCTACTTAATAGACAAGGAAATGGACTTGGCATTGATTTGGGTTGAGAATTCTGAAACTTCTCAACATAAATTGAGAAGCCACTGCTCTTCCTTTTCAACATAATTCCCATATGATTTGATTAAAGGAATGCTAGGAGCACCACTTCAGCATTTCAGAGGATCAACCTCAGCTCTACCAATAAAGCACGTTTGTCAATTGGGCTGTACCTCATTCCGTAGCCTGAGAACTGTGGGAGAAGGGTGAGGATAGAGGGAGCATGCTGGTGGATTGAGAACATCTGGTTTGCATTTGGCATTGGAGGGATCATAACTCTGTTACCCAGGCCTGTAGTTCTCTTTCCAGTTTATCACCAGTGCTTCAGTGGTGTATCCTTGAGTAGGACATTACCATTAGTACAAACTGAAGCATTTTCTGGTGAATACTATGAACTTGGGGTTACCTCCAGTGGGACACTGTGTGTGGAATGGGTTAGCAGTAGTCAGCTTACATTAGGCTGGGGCTAAGGGAGCCAAAAGCAGCAGGAGGGAACAGAAGAAACCCCGGGGCAATTTGGCTAATGGACACACTTGAGTCTAAGAGTTGTTTGCCCTCCCTGGGCCTGGGAAGTTGACCAACAGATCTCACAAAATTCTCCAATCAGAAGGTCAGATGAAGACTCAGAGCCCTGCCTCCCAGAGCATGATAAGGTTTGATCAGGATTTGCAGGCTAATTCTCAGCCTAGAGGTCCTGGGGACCTACAGCCTTGCTCTGGAGCCTCCATCCTCCGTGGATGGCAAGGCCAACTTCCCAGCTGCAGTTGTGAAGCTGACTCCATGCATCGTTTTTCCATCTATGTCAGTGTTCTCTTCATGTTATGTGTGTGTCAGAACACCAACTCTCAGCTCTGGGAAGATAAGTGAGATGTCAGGATTGCTGGGCAAGAGCACTCT